CTTAGGTTAGCGGGAATAGAACTAGAAGTCAAAAAAAAAGATAATCACCGAACATCAGAAGAAAAGAGGGAAAACTGCAGAACCTAAGGGGGACACCACCATTCGCAAGCACGAAACGACACATGAGCCCATATACTCGAATTGAGATGCTGCGATTGAGAAGATAGCTTGCTGTGTATAACAGGTTCCGAGGAAAGGCCAAATTTGGGTGGCTCAGTTAGCAAACCTGTGTGCCACACACGATGGAACGCTTTTGATGTGTCCACTGACACCACATGTGTTTCTCCGGTATACCAATGGGATCTAAAACTGTCCTGATGATTGCTAACCGCGGAGTTGATCAGAGATGACGGTACCACAACCTTTGAAATAACTAATACGAGAGAGATGAGATGATATTCATTGAGATATGGTAGATCACCGTGTTTTGGAAATAGAAATATTTCCAATTTTTTTATCCATGTGGTTGGGAATACCTTGGATTAGAACGAGAAAGAATGAGAGAGAAAAAAATATCGTAGGAACATAGCATATTCTGAGGTGCGTGTTTTAAAGATAATAGGAAAAATTCCGTTGGGTCTAAATAGCTTGTTTTGGTCCAGTGGTCTATCTCGCTAAGGAAACTTCGTGGGGACTTGCTTTGCAAGTTATGTGGGATTGAATTCAATACTCCGATAGGGTAGATTTGGAAGAAAGACGGGGGCAAAAACTGCATCTTTTGCAAAAACGGTTGGGCACATGGTCATCAGAGGTCAGGGGATACTGTCTTTGTAAGTGACCAGAACGTCCAACTTCTAGAAAAACGAATCGATAACTGTGCTGCTTTGCGCTCAGAAAAAGTTACTCAGTCTTTTGTATGATTGTTGTGGAGTAGCTGCATCCTTGCAAGATCAATTGGTGGGATCAATAAGAAGCTGAGTGACACCAAAGTCGAAACTTAGATTCCTTTTAAATGTCAGTGCAACAAATTGTGATTAAATCATCATAAATAGAGAGAGTTCCTGGTTTTAGTTAAACGAAGAATAATTAAGTGCGTGCGTTGCAAAAGAACTTGGAAAATTTCGAAGACAAGATGGAGATACTGGTGGACAAATAAGTCATTCTAAGGGTAGGAAATCACAATGTTACAAAAGCTACACCAACCAGAAGAAAAGTGTCTCCAGAATGTGCTTCTAGGGTTGAAAGGAAGAGTGAAACAGATAACTTGGGTAGAAAGTAAAATAAAACAGTGGTTTAATTCGCCCACTGAAGGAATTTTCGGAATTTTAAAAAATAAGTGTGCTTGATGTAAAGGCCAGGTTGAGGGTATGAGGGTGGTGGTCAACACAGTCGTAGATAAAGGTCAAAAAATGTAGCATTTAGTTTATTTTTCTCAAAAGGGCAAATGGTTCCACTGTATGGCCAAGGGGTAAATTTTCCGCAGAGTGTAACAGCCGGTCCCCGTAATAGATATTAAAATAATGAAAAATTGAACTAAGCTTCGGGGTTGACTGTAACGAGGTTCTTGATTTTGGCAATAAAATACCAAAAGTGATCAGTCAGTACTGTTTGCAGAACAATTTGCTATGCAGCAGCAGTTACTGAAATAGAAAAAGTAAAGTTTCAGTCACGTATGCTGGAACTCGTGGCTGGTGAAATTTAAATGAAAGCATGGGACAGATGAAACTGAATGGTGAATAAATGCACAAACATCAGTTATAGATATGAATGAGGAGTGAAGAGAGTACTTGGGAAACTGAAAATTTGTGGTGTCTGTAGTAGAAGAAAGTTGGCTTTTGGATAACAATAGGTTGAGAGATGAACTTATCTGAAAGAATTTAGGTACAGAATGAATGTTGTGGTTGAAACCTCAAATGTTAGTCAGTGCGATTGTGTTGTGTTATTAATAGTGAGATAATCAAGGTAACCGGCAGCATGGCCCCGAAGCATGGAGTGACGAGACCAATCAGATCCCGATGACTAGAATTTGGTACTGACCCGGACGACCGTAGAAACGTTAGTCAAAGTTGTGCGATCCAAATACGATCACGGACAAAACGTGAGAACCAATCATTTCTAAACCCAATGCGTCACATTTTCAACACTTGTAATATGATTTATTTAGCAGCGATGTATAAGTTTAGACAGTATCACTTGCCAGCGTGAAAAGATGTAATATCACACTGCAATACAACACATGTTTTGTGTAACACGAGGAATATACAAAAGTAAGCGTAGAAAAGTGAGTACTTTTGTCGTTACATGACAACATACACAATTTTCGACATCTGTATTTTTCACTTTTGCTTATCCGTTGGATCGGGTGTGAAAATGAATAACCTGAATTTCCAATTAGTTAACCACGCAGAACTTGGAAATCACGTGCTTATACAACATAATGTCTCTTGAATCCGCATTATTTTTATTCATATACACTTAATTGGTTAGAGACTTTTGATGTTTGCTTATCAACCCATTTTCGACAAGCGAGTAAAGACAATGTACAAAAAAGCCGTGATATGTTTTAGTCCTGGGCAGTTGTAATCAATACTTGTTCACTTTCTGCAGCCAATGTTTCTCGGGACACGTGCAGAATTTAGTTATTCATTAATGGATAAATATGTACATAATACTAGTAAATAGGCACAAATATACCTAAATCATGTGAATAATTTATCATGCATTATTGATCACTCCCAAATGAACTGAATATCTGATCGTGGAAATGGTGTCTGTCGCAGTAAAAACAATTTAATTTATGTTTTGTTCTCTGTTCATTTGTTGATTTCTCATGAAAATTACTGGTTGTCTTTATTCAGTTCCTTCAAATGCCTCGTTTTCACAAACCTGCCTACATATACACGAGTAACTAATTTGGCGTAATATACCTGATACTTCCAACTGCGCCTCCACCGGTTGACCTGATGACCAAGTTTAGGATGTTAACCTGTGGTTGTTCCGTTTGTATTGATTCTGTGATTAAGCGACTTGCTGACTCTCACATTTGATTTGCCCCCTGTTTACTAAAACCAATCAATCTTTTATTGGTCCTTGTTCATGGCAATTTGGTAAACTGCTTTTACGCCCCCAACACTGTCCTTTGCTTTATCAAACACCAAAGAGACTGGCTGTATACTGCATCATCACTGTTGCGGTGCCAGTATTTGACTAGTACGGACCATGCCTATCTGTTTTCTTTCTAATTCACGGAACCTACAAATGTTCTTTGCTGCAATTTAGGCTGATCGCTTAGCCTTTTAAGGTCTAATTCACGTGTGAATCACTGACTAATGAAAACACCCTATATTCTACTTAGATTATTTCCAATAGGGTTTCGCATAATTGTTACATGTATAGTAGTTTCTAGAAGAATCAAGGAAAATTTATTTTCGATTGAAAATGCTTTACACAGGTCATTGTTTTGAACAAATGTTGGAATATTTGATGCAAGCTAAATGTTAGAGAACTTGATAGAAATTTAAGCAATTAATAAAGTGCTCAGAAACATTCTGCTCTTGACCGTGTAATGGACAGACCGAGGCAAATAAAATAAATTGCAGTGACAACAAAACAATCCATACTAACGGGTGTCCGATTGCATTCAATGATTCTAGTGAGGATCAGTCGGTGGTTTACCATCTATCCCAAAAGGGAACCAATAGGAGCAAGGGTACCTTGATGAAGGAAATCTGGGGGAAAGGCTTCAGCAAAGGCTTGTCACGTTTATGTTGAGGAGACAGGAGACTCATACTTAGGTTCTACTGCAATGATCTGATATAATGAGGCTCTAAAGACGTCAGTCGTACTGTTTTCCAGACTAATATTAATTGTTTCATCCTGTTCAGCCCGACTGATTAACAGAGTAGATTCCACATAAAAGTCCCGAAAAATCATTTTTCAATTTGTAAAGGTCAGCTTCATCATCTCATTTTATTGCAACTGCAAATGAACCTACATAAACAAGCAAACGTCATCGCGTGCCTCTATGCCACATACCCTCAAGGTCTCACGTGACGCACACCGAGCACGCCGCCCACCCCGTTCTACCTGCAGGCGATGGAGATCAACAGAAACAAGGATTATGCAGACAACCAGAGGAATGTCCTTTATCAAATAACCACTTAAGTCGGAGAACATGATGGACCAAAGATATCAGTATCCCGTATTCATAACTATCCGTAAATCTCTGGAATTATCTTAAAATGCTGATATATTTCTAAACAGTACAGGATTTTGAAAGAAACCTGGATCGAAAAAAATAGTAAACCTTCTTAGAAGATTAGATAAACAGAAATTTTTGATCTTCCAGAAAAAGTGTTCTGGTACGAACGTACTTTTGTAAAGAATTCCCTCATAAATGAGACGAAAAGACAGTGACTCCCCATTCGTTTTCAGCATGATAATAATTTGCATTAAATCACAGTTAGGATCTGGATAGTTAGCGTAGTTAAGCAATCATCTCTTCCAAACCAAGGTACTCATTTAAGCTTATAATCCCAAATGAGATATGATATGTTGATACGTTGATATGTTTACCTAAATTTCCTTACCCTTTAGGAATTCGAAGAGGGTTTGGTTTGTACGAAACACCCGGACACTCAGGACGCAGTTTATATTGTTCAATATCTATATCCATTGCTTCGTTTTTCTGCTGCAAATCAATCAGAAGTTGACTCCTGGCTTCCTTCAGCAACATCATTTGTTCAAAAGCTGCATCAATTTGCTGCTGAAGACGATTGTTTGATTTCTCGATCAGTTCTTTTTCCTACAGAATAAAAGTGAGCATGTTGATATTTCCAAATATATATTTTTATACTTTTCTAAGCTGAACCTCGGGAGCGTCTTCTACAAAATCAATAGATTTTCTTTTATCCCTTAAAGAGAGACATTCGGTAACACAGTCTCTAGGTATTTTTATGTTTTGCATTTGTTCCTCGAGCGCATCTTTTCCAAGATTTACCATTGATATTTCTTCATCCACTTGCGTTTTAGCCAGATCGAGTATATCTCTCAAGTCCCGAATAGCATCAATGCGGTCTGCAAGTCTGGTTGTATTGTTAAATTCATCCCATTTAGTTCGCAGTTTCACTGCGAGACGAGTAGCTCTGGTGTTCTGTCTTGTTTGTTCAGATGCCACTCTTTGTCTTTGTGCATTGGTGCTGATAGCAAAAGAATTTGTGAACCAATCAGGGGGCTGGAATTTCGTTCTTGGTTTTTCTATTGTCGACATGTTCAAATCAACGCCTTATTCAAAATATCGCGTCAAAGTAGCCATGGTCACAAAATTCTTTGTTCAGTTCAGTTGCACAGGACGAATATGGCTCTTGCCAATCGAGCGTCCAGTTCGTTGTGTTGTCGGCGGATGGGATTGGCTTTCAACACTGCGTACGGTTGATTGAGTATTTGTGATCCTCACACTTCAACCCCGTGTCCAGAACGTTGTCTCCTTACGGGTGTGCTGAAAGGGAGGAAAACAAGCAAGGATGTCTCCTCGCCTCATTGGTTAGAGACCTCAAGTACGCTAGTATACAGCTTACGTGTGACAAGATAATCAGTTTTTTAGACTAATTTTTCAACACTCACGTTTATATCATTTCACATCTTCTCGCAAAGTAGAATTTACTTTTATT